TCCTGTAAGTCCTCAAACGTCTGCTGCTTGAAGTTTTGAAAGGCTTGTTGTGGTTTGTAATCTGAGCTGCTGGTAACCTTTGACCTCTGTAGCTGGTGACTAATGAACTTTCCCTCAGCAGAGTGGGCTTTGTCACACTGTTTGGTGCATTTTGCTCTTGAAGAAACTTTTCTTGAGATTTTCTGGACTAACTGAATCTTCATATCTTAGTGAGGCATCCAAGGCAAGTAAATGAATGTGCAAGAAAATGTACTTTAAATTGTTGCAACAGTCACCGTACATTATTGTTTAAATCTGAAGGATGTACAATGTGAGGCTTCAACATCTTGTACTTACAGTTATGTCCTTTTGCTCGAGGTCGACTCCTCCAGCAATACTGAAACCAAGTCCTGAACCTTCTCCTTTACTCAGGACAACCAGACGAGTATTTCTGTTAGTCTGCAAAACACACAGAGAGTGACAAATAAAGAAAACCCAAACTCAGCTGGACTCTGTATCTGCAGTGAGACATTACCTTGGTTTGCTGAAGCAGGGTTGCTATGTAAGCTTTTGCTGTTAGTGAGGACAGCAGTGTTTGCAGTTTACACTGACTCACAGGTGAAGCCGACAGCTCCTCTAAACTGCAGAGAAAAAGTCATCGAATCAGGACATTTAATGTGTTTTTTTCACCCACATTTCACAGTTATGTTTGGAGCAAAGCAGCTGCTGTGATTTACAATGACTGGTTTAAAGTCTCACCTGATGGACCAGCCGAGCTGCCGGCCATGGGTCTCTCGGGTCCTCTGAGCAGTCTCTTCAGTGACTTCAGCCTCGCTGTGGTTAACCCTGTTCAAATCTGCTTTCATTGGAGTTGCACAGGTTGGAAAGCTGTCAGTCACTGGGGCTATAGTGGACCGGGTGTCAGCGTCTGTTTTATCTGCAGTGCTGCGCCCTCCTGCAGCGTCCTCTTTGCACAGTTTTTCCAGCTCAGGCATGCTGAGAGCCCTGAGCTGCCGTAACCTACTGTAGAGAAGTCTGCCATGTTTCTTGCGCAGCACTGGAGGAGTCTGTGGCGCAGCCCCATCTGGAGCTTTGTGAACTTCATTCTCAGAAGACTTACGAAGACGAAGAGAGCAGGATGTGGCTGGAAGCAGATTTTCCACATAAGAGCTAAAACTCCTTTGCCGTGTCCGGAAGTCAACAGCATTAACTAGTTCCATATAACCTGCAATCCTTTGGTTCAGCGGGGCTCTATATGCCAGCGCATACGGCTGAGGATCACCGCTTTTCACCAGGGGCTTGTCAACATTAGCCAGATTCTCAAAGGATTTGATTTTATGTCGGACAGAGAAAGGACTGTAATCTGCAGACGAGGCAGTGTGTGTGGACAGGGCCTGTGTGGACAGGGTCTGTGTGGACAGGG